GATTCTCAGCACCCACATAAAAAGCCGGACACGATGGCAGGCACGTATAATTGCAGCACCAAGGTGCCGAAGCAGGAGGATCCCTGGGGCTTGCTGGCCAATCAGTCTAGCTGTTAGTTCAGTGAGAGTCTCTGCCTCAAAACGTAAGTTGGAGAGTAATAGAGGCAGACACCTGACATTGAGTGCTGGCCTCTGTGTGTGCGTGCGCGCGAGCAAACACACCCCTCGACAGACACCTCCACAGACATAAGCACACATACACATGAACTTCTCTACACTTATACACCGCCCCCCCCACACAGAGTAGGTCAGATGAACTAGTTTTAATAATGTGACTAAGAGCAAGTTGTAGGTAGTGATGCTCCAGTTGAGGAAGGAGTCAGTCCTTGTTGGAATATGGTGGAGATTGGACAAGAGTTGCTGCAGTAAGCACACTTGGCCAGTTCATACTAAGAAACTTGGTTCATTTCCCTGGTTTTAGAGGAATGGAGCAGTATGTGACTTTGGAGTTAAGGGGCCACTCAAGGACCTGAGCAGCCTTGGATTTCAGTCTGGGACCCACTCCTTGCTATCTGTACAATTCAGACAATTAACACGGGCCCTAACAGGTGGCCGGGTGGGTAGCTGAAACACGGACCAAGAGGCAGCCCTGCAAATGAGGTGGGAATGCCACCTGCCCTGGACACCATGAGGAAGCACTGCAGCGGCTGAAGGAGACTGGATAGAGTGGGTGTGTTCTTTCAGAGCTCCTCACCCTGCAGAAGGTCTAGATGGAATAGCTTCTACTCCGAATCTCCAGAATCGTTCGCAAGCTCAGTGATAGCTCTTCTCTGTGGCCCTGACAGCACAGTGAGGAGGAATGGCAGTCAGTGAATTGGAACATCTAAATGCAACGAGAGTAATTGGATCCCAGGGTGGCAGCAGTCAAGTGGTGGTTAAAATCCAGGTGTGCATGGTTCCAACAATGGATGGAAGAGTCAAAGCCCTCAGAACAATCTGACTCATGGAGAGAGAACTGTGGCTTTGCCTGATGGATCACAATAGTTCTTACAGTGAAGTAGATAGGAAATGTACTACATTCTCACTGTGTACATGGGTGGGGAGAGTCCCACCACATCTCCATTCACCTCTCCTGTCCGGCCTATTCAGAAGCCCTTGGATCTTGGTGAATGGCAATGGATTACTGTGGGCTTAAATAAGTCTAGAGCTCCAATTACGCTGCATTTTACTACTTGGACAAATTAAAACATCTGCTGGTACTCAGTATGTAGCTACTAGTCTGGAGAATGTTTTTTGTTTGTATTTATCAAGGGAGACCACCAGAAACCATTGCTTCCAGATGATAAAGCTGAAATACACTTTCTCTGACTGTCTCAGCAGGAGAGCAACTCTCCACTGTGTCATAATTAACTTAGTTTTCAGAGAATATCATCTTTTTCTTCCATAAGACACCACATTGGTCCATTATGTTGACATTATACTGATCAGACCAAGTGAGCAAGAAGGAGAAACTGCTCTCAACTTGCTGGGAAGGCTTGTCAGAGTGACCGCAACTGAGGACCTCAGTAATCATGTCGGTAGAACTGCTGATACTGACAGCAGTCAGCCTCTCTCCCCCACCACTCCTCATGAACAAAGTGCCCATGGTGGCAGAGATGGAGGGTCTGCATGAACACAGCAGCGTAGATTACCACTCACTAAGGCTGACCAGGCTGTGGTCACTGCTATTGTCCAGTCCGCTAGAAGCAGGGATCAATTGTGAATCTCTGATATGACTCTATTCCCCAGGGTGATCAGCTAGTCATCTGACAGGCTGATTATGTTGGACAATTTTCATCACAGACGGGCAACATCTTCTTACCGGGATAGACATAGGCCTATGATGTTTCTATCAAAATTACCATCCATGGGCTTATACAACACTCTCTCTACTGTTATAGTACTCCTTGACGGAGGAACTCACTGAACATTCAAAGGAATATGGCAGTAGATTCATGCTCATGAAATTTACCAACCTTACCATAGTACCACCACCCTGGAGCAGATGGTTTGAATGGCCTTTTGGAGACCTAGTTACAGGTAGGTGGCAATACCTTGCAGGGCTGGATTCTCCAGAAGGCTGCACATGTTCTGAATCAGTGACCAGTATGTGGTGTCATTTTTCCTATAGCCAGGATTTGAGAACCAAAGGGAGATGATGGGGAGGAAGCACTAGTGCTCCTGCTTTCTGTCCTGCTGGTTTAGAAGTTGGAAGTTCCAAAAGGAGGACTGCGTTCACCAGAGACACAACAATGGTATACTTCAACAAGAAGTTAAGACTAATATCTGGCCACTCAAGGCTCCTTATGATTCTGGGTCAACAGGAAAAGAAGGGAAGTTCTGTGTTGGCTTGGGTGATTGATCCTGAGTACCAAGGAAGAACTGGACCTCTTCTCCACAGTGGAGGTAAGGGGTACAGAGTGCAGATTTCTTAGGGTGCCCCTTCTCAAGGCCTGTCCTGTGACCAAAGTCAATGGGACACTTCAGCACCCCAATCTAAGCGTGAATACCAAGGGCCCAGAATCTTAGAACATGAAGGTTTAGGATCAGTCTACCAAGTAAGCAGCTATGACCCACCGGAATGCTGGCTGAGGACAAGGAATTTATAACAAACAGTGGAAGAAGTACTAATAAATGGTACAGCCTTGACCACAAGACCAACTGCAAAAATAGAGGCTGCATCTGTCGTGTCACCTCCTTACTCTTATGACCACTTCTCCATATATATATATATCAAACCCCCTTTTCTCCTCTCTTATTGCCTTATCATCTGTCTCTTAAAACATAATATTCATTGACTTTAGACCATGGTATTTGAGTTCTGAGAACAGTAAAAATTGTTCAAGAATGGTTCTGGAAGAAATTGTTAGAGTATTTTTGGTTCTACATAGGATCATTGTATCATGGTAGGTGGAGATAAGACTTGGGCATCATCTTTATTTGGGGATTAAGAGTGATGGTCTAAGGAAATATGTATGGGTAACAAACTGACAAAGGGAAGACTTTTGATGGCTAATTTTATGGATTAACTTTACAGGGCCATGACGTACCCAGATATTTGGTCAAACACCACTCTGGATACTTCTGTGAGGGCGATTTGGGTGAGACTGACATATAGTTGGTAGACTGAGCAAAACAGATTGCCCTCTCTAATGTAGGGTGAGCCTCATCCAATCAGCTGAAAGCCAGAATAAAACAAAAAGCAGGCCCTCCCCTAAGTAAGAGAATTCTTCCTGCCCGAAAATATTTTCAAATGGGACATCAGCTCTGCAGATCTTGGACTTGCCACTTCACATGAACCGGTTCCTTATCATGTCTGTCTGTCTATAATCTATCTATCTATCTATCTATCTATCTATCTATCTATCTATCTATCTAACATGTATCTTTGTATCTATGTCTCTATATATCATCTATCTATCTATCTATCTATCTATCTATTATCATCTATCTATCTATCTATCTATCTATCTATCTATTATCTATCTATCTACGATCTATCTATCTATCTATCTATCTGTCATCCATTCATCTATCATCTATCTATCTATCAGCTATCTAATCTACTTATCTATCTATCTATCATCTATCTATCTATAATCCATCTATCTATCATTTATCTATCTATCTATCTATCTATCTATCTATCTATCTATCTATCTTCTATCATCTATCTATCTATCTATCTATCATCTATCTATCTATCATCTATCTATCTATCTATCTATCTTCTATCTAATCTACTTATCTATCTATCTATTATCTATCTATCTATCTGTCATCCATCTATCATTTATCTATCTCTATATATATATCATCTATCTATCATCTATCTAGCTATCATCTATCTATCATCTATCAATCATCTATCTAATCTACTTACCTACCTATCTATCTGTCTATCTATCTATCTATCTATCTATCTATCTATCTATCTCCCATCTCTCTATCATCTATATCATCAGTCATCCATTTAATCTTCTATCATCTATCTATCTATCTATCTATCTATCTATCTATCTATCTATCTATCATCTCTATCTACCTATCTGTCTATCATCTCTCTATACTCTATGTTTTTCTGTAGAATTAAGGCAAATAAAGGCACACATGAGGATGTAAGAATAAAAGAGTGCATCACAGTGAAGGGCCTCTGAGGGACAGATGGACAGAGAGAGCATTCATGAGGGGGTGGGATGGGAGAAAAGGAGCAGAGACAGTTTCTAAAAGCCAAGGTCTGCTTATTTGTCTATGTGAACTAAAAAAATCCATGGGTACAAGATTTCTATGACAGGCAGTTCAAAGGCATGCTACCTTCACAAAGAAGTTTACAAAGCTTCTCTCTCTCTTTCTCTTTCTCTCTCTCTCCTCTCTCTCTCTCTCTCTCTCTCTCTCTCTCTCTCTCTCTCTCTCTCTCTCTCTCTTTTCTCTCTCTCTCATAGGGTTTCACTATGTATCCCTGGGACTTAATATGCAGTGCAAGCTGGCCTTAAATCCATGATGATTCTCCTGCCTCAGCCTCTTGAATGTTGTGATTACAGGTGTGCACTAAGCCCAGCTTTCAAAGATTTTTTTAACATTTAAAACATTTTTATTTATGTGTATCTGTGTGTGCTTGCTCGTCTGTGTATACATGTTCATGTGGAGGCCAGAAAAGGGCTTTGGATACCCTGGACTTGGAGTTCCTGGTTGTGTGCCATTTGATGTAGATGGCTGGGAACTGAACCCGAGTCCTCTGCAAAAGCAGCAAGTGAGCTTAACCACTAAGCAGCTCTCCAGCCCCTCAAAGATTTCTTAAAGTTGCCTGTTGCCCTGGGCATTTGCTATAGGATTTTGTAAGCATATCTATTTGTCTATCTAGCATCATCTCTCTATACACTATTGGTTAGAGTTTTCCCTAAAAACAGGTGCTCCTAGGCCCCGTGGAGCTCAGCAGAAGCCCTGCCTGCCCTGCCTCTTACCTCTGAGGATGGTGACGTTGCGAAGGATTTCTCCATGATGCAAGTCTACAGCCTTCATCTCCTCCATGATCAGGGAGAGGTTGCGAACATTGAAGTCCAGCCGGGCACTGAGCAGACTGAAGCGCTCCCGGAGTAGGTCTGTGGTGCCCAGCATGAGGGAGACAGACTTGTTTAGGTAGTAGAGCTCCTCAGCATGGGTGTGAAAGCCCAGTGTGCAGGAGAGCCGCACATCATCCAGGTACTTGAGCATACTGTGCACGTGATTGTCAGTGGCATTGATGTTGGTGAAGATGGTTCCGATTTCGATCTCATGAGAAGCCATGCGTCCTTCCAGAGACTCGAACCTCTCCACAGTGCGATTCTGGGCATAGCGGGTGTGGTATTGGAGATCATGCATGTTCTCCTCGTGGTCATCCAGGAAGGACGAGATGTTGTCCAGCTGCAGTTGTAAGCCCATGACCTGTAATACCAAGTCATGCATGCTCTCAGAATTCTGGCTGATGCGCTGTGAGGAGGCTCCCAGGGTGGCCTGGATGGTCTTGACCACCTCTCCTGTCTTAGTGGAGGTGCTGCGGAGACCTCCAAAGAGCCTGGTGTAGTTCTGCCAGTCAGTGACCATCTTCTGTAGGGTCAGAGTCTCCTCGTCTGTCTTCCGCTGGATCCCATGGATCCATTCAGCAGTCTGGCCCACTGTGAAGTTGATCTGGTGTACAGCGGCCTTGACATCATAGCACTCCTGGGTGAGGTCCTTCAGAGAGAGGTCCAGCCCTGCTGTAGTGACCTGCCAGCCCCTCATCTGTGCCAGGAAGAGTCCCAGGGACTGATTGACCTGGTGGATGGAGAAGGAACAACTGCCCATCTCCTGGGAGATCCGACCACTTGTGGTGGAGAGAAGCTCATGGGCCTGGGAGGTCTGGTCCAGCTGGACCTCCTGGGCCAGCAGCATCTTCTGAAGCCCCTCTAGCTCCTCTTGAAGCTTCCTGATCTCCTGCCCTAGCTGCCCAGCCTCACGGCAGAAGGAGCAGTTGTTCAGGGCTTTGGGGTCTTCAGGAGAAAAAGGGACAATATTTTCATTTAACAAAGAACCATGGGACACAGATGCTTCTTTGTGTGTGTGTGTGTGTGTGTGTGTGTGTGTGTGTGCATGTACATATGTGTACATTCAGGGATACCCGAAATATCACTGGGCCATAAGGGCCAGGAGAACTTTCCAGCCTTCCTCTGCTGCTGCACAAGAACATACCCCATTCAGATGGGCACAGAACCCCAGGTGGCACTGAACCAAACAGAAAGCAGGCTAAGCTAAATGCATCAAAGTGCCCTGAAATTCAGGCCACCCAGCTTGAGGTCCAGCCCTCAGCACCCCAGAAGGCAGCCCACCTCAGCACACCTGTGGCAGTAAGTACCTAGAGCCGGACTGCCGGCAGTGAGAGGACAACCTTGGGTACTGTTCCTCAGGTGCCATCCACCTTGTTCTTTGAGGCAGGGTCTCTCACTAGCCTGGGGTTCATTAGGCTAGGCTGGCTGGCCAGTGAACTCCAAGGATCCACTGTCTCTGCCTCCCCAGGATTGGGATTACAAGCCTGTGCTATCACACCTAACTTTTTCACACAGGTTCTTGGAATCAAATTCAGACCCTAATGTATGTGTGACTGAGCCATCTCCCTAGCCCCAAAGGCTGGCCTTGATCTCAGAGGGCTCCACTTGCCTGTGTCTCGTGAGTGCTGGGATTAAAGACATGTGCCACCACACCCTGCCTCTTCACACAGTTTTATATTTGTCACTGTATTTGATCCTCTTACAATATACTTGTGGGGAAGGTGGCCCTGGAGACTTTTTCCCTTGTGACTCATGAGGACAAGGCACAAAGAAGTAGCTTGCCAAATAACACTGTTATTAGGTATCAGGCCAGCACTTTCTATCTGCAACTGAGCAGGAGACCTTTAAACCCTATGCTACGGCTCCTGCCTGATACTCCCAGTTGGAGCAGGGGGTGAATATTTTGAATTCTGCCATAGTTTATGGGGCTGATTCATTATTTGAGATGCATGAGGATATCTTGAGAATGGACCACACTTGGTTTCTTTCTCTGCCTGTGTCTGGCTATATCTACAGTCCACACAGAAAACCCTGCCCCAGTCCTTGAATACATCTCAGTGTAGCAGCCCTTTGTAGATGGATAGTGCTCAGCTAGAGAGGGAAGCAGGGGGCCGTAGCTGTCCTTATCTTATTTCTAGAAGGAAGGCAATGTCTGTCCATCTCTGGAAAGCACAGGATGGAGGGCCCTGCCTCACCCTCAGTGAACACTGGTCTTATTTACATCTAGATATGGGAGTCTTACCCAATCCTTGAAGATTTTCCTGCATCAACACAAGCTTCTTGTCATAAATGGACTGGGCCAAGGAGATGTCTTCTGAGAGAGAGTCCACCTTCCTAAACACTGTAGAGAGACAGAGGCGACATTGGGGCAGGGTCTTGGCTCAGAAGCAGCCATCAGTGGTGAGGGAGCATTTTTATCAAGGCCTCTGCAACAAAAGCCATTAATGCTTCTCCCTGGGGGCTTCCCGATGGCTTCAAGCCAAGATGCTTCCTACAGATTGATCTTAGTGCAGGTCCCTTCATAAGCATAACAATTCACTTTCTAATGTGGATTTTAGAAGCAGGAACTGCTTGTAAAATAGAATAGGAAAAAGACATGAAAATATAAGGAGTAAAAATTATTCTTAAGTCTATCACCCAGAGCAATATCTTCAAATATTTATTTCTTCTGGTTATGTGTCCACAGATACACCCAGTCCACATTCACATAGACACATACTTTGGAAAACAAAAGCAAAACTGGGATATTCTGACCATCTAATCTGTTTTTTCTTTTTTGACTTTTATTGGGACGATGTCATGGACACTTTTCTTTCTTATTTCTTTGCTTTTCTCCCTCCCCTTCCTTCCTTCCTTTTCTTTCTTTTTTTTTGAGGAAGTAGAGTTCTTCAAATTTTTTTCCATTTGTATACTCATTATACATGGTAAGGTGTTACATGAGAACATTTTCATACAAGTACATCCTGTATGTTGAACATAATCCTTCCATACCCATCCTCACTAGTATCTTTTGTTTCCACAGACAGCCTGCTTCTACTCTCATCTCTCTCTCTCTCTCACACATACACACACACACACAAACATATAAAATCTAGGAACCACAAATTAGAGAAAACACAGTATTTATCTTTCTGCAACCATTTTCCTGCAAACGTAACTTCACTCTTCTTTATGGTTGAAAAAAAATTCCATTGCACACACATACCACATTTTCTTTATCCACTGCTCTGTGGTCAGGTGCCCAGGTTCTCTGTCATGTACATTTCCACCAAGGTTTTCTTTTTTAAATTTATTTATTTTATGTGTATGAGTATTATACCTGCATGTGTTTAAGTACACGTGTCATGCAGTGTCCACAGAGGACAGACAAGGATGTCGGATCCTCTGGAACTGGAGTTACGGATGGTTGTTAGCCACCGTGTGGGTGCTGAGAATCATACTCTGCATGAGCACTCAGTGATCTTAACCACTGAGCCATCTCTCCAGCTCACAACTAACATTTTACATGTTAGCCATCTACAGTGTCCTGTCATAGGACTGCCTACCAAGTGTAGGATTAGAACTCAGGTCTTCTTCAAGAGCAGCCAGCACTCTTTAACTGCTGAGCCATCTCTCCAGCCCCCATCAAGGTTTAAATCATTTTAAATTCATTACTTTCAGAGTCTGCACTGTGCTCTATATGAGAGGTACAGCAGACACATAAAAATCCTCTCTCACTGGGGATATTGGAGGTATCTGCCCTCTAAGCTTATAAATAAAATCGAATTGGTTAATATGAGCAATGCTCTATCTTACAATTAATCCTTGATATGAAGTTTTGAGGACATGACCATTCTCTTAGAGAAACTGCTAGGGGGAACTCCTGTGTCCAGGAACCATTACTGGTTTTGAAATGCTTAGAACAAAGGTTTCCTCTAGAAAACCTTGTACTAGCTTACACCTCACAGCAACCCGAGCCCTACCAAAGGTGTCATGACAGGTTTCTTGGGCTTATCCAGCAGAAGTCCAGATGCACCTGCCAGTGACAGGGCAGAGTTTGAACTGAAGACTGACACAGATCCCCTGATGGCCACACATGGAAGAACAGATTTAATGCTACCCAAAGTAACATAGCTTCTGCACCCAGATTGATATGAAGTTTGTTCGTTGACCTTGGGAGGTCAGTGGACCTTTCCTGAGCTGAGCAGAGTCATCTACAAAATGAAAACGGGGTGCTAGTGACCTCTAAGACCCTTAGTAGCTCCAAACATTTAGGCTTTCAGAAGCTTTGGAATCGCTGGGCTCTAGTTAACACTGTATATATCAGAGTTGTCAAGAGAGTTAATGGCTTAGTAACAGTGATATGTTAAGAAGCCTAGGAACAATCCCATGCTGTTAGGTTATGGTAGCACTTTACAGTTTGCACTAGTTATTTTGTTTGAGCCTTATCTGAACAGCTCATACACAAATAGATAGAAGTAGAGAGACCTAATCATTCCAATTTTTATTCTCATGCTTCGTAAGGTCTACGTCTTGCCAGCGGCCAAGGACTCACTCCATGTAAATCTCCCTGCTCACCACACATTCTGACTTTGTAATGGTATGTTAATTTGTTTGTTTAGGTATTGTCTGGCCCTTCTTTTATATACATTCTTGTCTTGCTATGGTTTGAATGTGAAATGTGCCCCAGGGGCTTCTGTGTTTGAACTCTTGGTCCTCCACTGGTGGTGGCTCCACTGGTGGTGCTGTTTTGGAAGGTCATAGACCCTTTCCGAGGTGGAGCCTTGCTGGAGGAAGTAAGTCACTGGGGATGGATCTTGACATTTTTCACTGGATCACACCTCTGGTCTATCTGCCCCCTGACTGAAAAGGCAATGTGACTAACCGCTTCCGGTTCCTGCCAGCACACGGTCCCTGTCTTGATGGGGTGCCTGCTCTCAAATGGCCAGCCAAAATAAACCTCCCTCTGCTCGGTTCCTCCTTGTCAAGTCATAACAACTAGGAAGGTAACTACTAGAACCAAGAATGCTGATTCCTGAATAGGCTCAACCAGGGGCAGGACCAAGCGCCCTCCCAGGACAGTGCTCGCTCTCAGGGTTGGTCCTAGACCGAAGGCCACTTGGGCCTGTGTTGCTTCTTATGATTCCAGCCTTGTCTCTAATATCAAGCAGGTTGGAGCAATCTGAGATTGCTAGGCAACTTACCTTAAACTCTGAGCACTGAGAAGGTAGAAGTTAGTTACCCGAACCTGGCCATGTCACCAGGGCAGTCACAGCAGCGGCAGAATGTGTGGGAAGCACCAAAGCTCAGGTGTCCTGGCTTCAGGTACATGACTGTAATTTTGCAGGTCTGAATAAGACCTGGGAAATTACATTTTAAAGAACACTTAAGGTGAGCTTTTAAAATATTTGTTTTTATCTTATGTATGAAGGTATTGCCTGTATGTGTATAAGTGTATCCGTGTTGGACAATGCCCATGGAGGCCCAAAGAAAGTGTCAGGTCCTCTGGAACTAGAGTTATGGATGGTTGTTAACCACCATGTGGGTGCTGGATACTGAACCTGGATCCTCTGGAAGACCAACCAGTGCTCTTAACCTCTGAGTCATCTCTCCAGTCCCGTGAAGGTGATCTTGATGTAGGTGGTACCCAATCTTACCTTGAACAACACACACAGAGGCCATAGAAGGGCTTAGAAGCCACCTGCTCCAGTGGTTACAACCCAGGTTGTACAACAGACTCACCTGGAGAGCTGAACGGTACAAAATTCTTTCTATTACCCTGGGGCATCAATTGTTTTTAATGTTCCCAGGCGATTCCAACACAGACCCGCCAAACTTGTATGGTTATCTTCTTCTACCAATGGGTAGAAAAAGTCATACAGCTAATTCTTAGTCATAGATTAGAAGCCTGTCTCCCCAGTATGGATTAGCCACTAAGATGTCCTAGCCAAGAAGATGCTAGCCTGGATTATAGGCTAGTGCTTGTCTTCCTAGGGTTTTTTTGTTTTGTTTTTTGGTGTAGAAAACCTAACCAGTTACTCCCTCACAACCAGGATCAGAGAACTCTGGACTCACCCAGCGAGGCCAGCACAGCCACAGCCACCAGGAGCAGAGCAAGAAAGAGGTACAGAATCCGCACTGACGTGTGCAAAGACAGATTCTTCTGGCAGCGGCTACAGTGGGGTCCTGGCCTGCCTGTGGGGGACAGGAAGAGGACAGTGGCTTGTGTCAGTGGTTGAGGCTGGAGAGGAAGGGTCAGTTCCATGTTCCTGCTCTGGCCTGCCTCATCACTTTTCAAACCAGGCTCATAAGGGGATTTCTCCATCTCTCTGCTCATTCTGCTGACCTTTCTGGAATAGAGGAGACAGAGTCAAGGTCTTCAATGACACCCCCTGTCCTTCTTTATTGCCATTCTTTCTCTACAGCATCTTCATTCATGGGGTGGGGAGATACCTCTTCTCATTGTGCTGGCCCTACTAATGATCTACAGTCCAGGCAGCCTAGTTGCCCATTGCCTCGTGCAATGCTCCATTGTGTGATCAATACATCCCAGTTTGCCCAGGACCTCTGGGTTTGAAGCACTGAAATTCTTCTGCCGTGATAATACCCCAGTAGTGGCAAATCACCATGCTTTGCAGAGACTGTTTCAGTTTTAAGACTTAAAGTCCCACCCCTAGAGAACCCCTCAGCTCCAGGCATTCTGGAAGGTTGGTCATCATCCCCCAAACTGAGAACCAGTGGTTCTCCTGGAAACCAAACCGATGGTTACAGTCCACCAGTCAGGTCACTGCATGGAGGGAGAAGGGAGCAGGTGCTCCTGGAAACTTTGGGAGGTGTCCGTACTCAACAGGAATGCAGGATGGCCCCAAGGTGAACTCTGCTTCAGCTGCACATGGATGAGCATCAGAAGTGATTTAAAAGCCAGTGCCTGGTTCCCATGCCATACCAAGATGAATCTAAAATTCCAAGGGTTGGCCTCAGGCAGCACTGGCTGAGCCCAATGTTTAGCCATGGTAGAGAGCAAAAGTTATCATTGATACCAAATTCTACTGAGGGCCCTCGTTGAACTATCAGCTCAAGAAACATGAGAGATAAGACCAGTGACAGGCTTAAGCACAGAGTGTCTGGCAGGGGGAGAGAGCAGGGGTCCCTAGCAGGGCTCAGGAGGAACCCTGGAGACACATGGCATTTTATGTCAAATGCTGATTTCATCCATACAGCACAGCCCCAGGCCACAAAGCTCTGCCCCTTCACTCTCTAGGGAAATGAGAGCGGGATTTTGAAACCATGTAGTGGGACAAGTTGCTCACCAGGCTGAAGATGGGGACAGAGAGCTCCTGACCCAAAGAGGAGATGGGGACCCCTAAACCCTTACCCTCCTGCGTGCATGGGAAGGATGGCATGTCCTCGTCTTCACCAGTCAGTTCCTCTTCGGTAACACACAGTGCATCCCCATCAGTGCCAGCTGATCGCACTGCAAAAGAGCCAGTGCTGTCAATTGCCTGGACCCTGAGTCATGCCTGTCCCTCTTTAGCTTCCCATTTAGTACCAAGCCTCACTTGTCCATGGGACCAATTCAGTCCACCTGAGCAGCAGGTGATCTGATGTGAGCTGAAAAAGGAGGAGAGAGAAGACTTGGGAGGCTGAGTTACCGGGATGTCCCACCCATCTAGTAGGTAAGTCTGCCTGTCTCCCACAAGCTAGGAAGACACGCAGGTCCACCTACTTGGACCCCTGGGGGAGGAACAGAGATATAAGAGCTCATTAACTGCTCTTGCTCATGGTAACAGAAGCAGAATTACTCTGCTGTGAGGACAGAATCTGGCTCGGCATGGTCCCAAAATACTATGCCCAGCTGGGGGCCATGGAGAGGAGGAAGCAGGAAGTGGGTAGATATAGGATGGGTACATCCTGCCTCTGTGCCTTAGCTGAGACACACTAAGGTGTCAAAGGGAGCATGGGGTCCTGACTAAAGGCCTAGTAATACTTCTTCCCTATAGTGATCTGCTCCCTAAATAAGGAAATGATGTGTCCCATCATTAAGATTGCTCTCCTTCCCCAGACCCCTCCTGCCTCATCTTCCAGGGGAAGCCTGGTATTTTATAAACAGCATGAAGGAAGGTGCCTGAAAAAAAGGCAGAGCTGGAATTGATGAAGGAGAGATTGTGATGTAGATTTAAGCACTGCCAACAATGGCGAGGTCCTCAGCGGGACAGTGAGCACCCCGGTATGTGTGGGCTTCTCAAAAGAAAGTCCTGTTTTAGAGTCTTCACAATAGCCGTATAAATGATTTGAGGGCTTATGAAGTTGCATGTATGTGTCCTTCTTAAGACAACTTCCTACAAGTGAATTTACTGGATTGGATTATAAGGGTATTTTAAGGATATGATAGTTAACAAGTTATGATCAAAGGGGAGGGACACAAATTGTACTTTTAACCACACAGCATATGAATGATTTGCTAGCACACCCCAATGAGTCTTACCATAAGAATAAATGTATTTTTGAGTTTAACTCAAATGATTTCCATGTTTTATCTGTACATTGAAAACTTGTTGGTGAAAGCCTTGCAGGGGAGGACATTATACCTCACTGGTAGGGCAGGTATTTAGCATGTATGAGAGCATGTGTTCAAACTCTAGCAAACACACACACACACACACATTAGCAAAACTGTGGACTCTGGAGTCTATGGAAAAGCCAGGTTTTCTGACAAATAGCACTTTTCCCTTAGTCTCCTTTGCCACCACTTCCCCATTTACACAGTCCTAGGATTAGAGACCTACGTCATCGTGCCTGGCTCTTATTTTTTAAAGAGCAGACTAGTTGCAGTGAGACTCAGGATCCTTACCCACAGGTATGGCATGACACTGACCAATCAGTGTGAGGGCTGTGACCAAGTAGAATGCACCAGCACTGTCCCTGGATGAGACTCAGTGACAGCAGGACTGGGGAGGGGCAACTTCCGGGGTCCAGGCTTCTTTGCAGGAACCTGTGGCCGACCTGCCCCTGGTATGTGGCAGTGTGTCCCCGCTTCCCTGTCTTCTCCTATATTGCAGATGCTCCTGATACTGTGTCCCAACCCTGTATTTGTTTCCCCTTCTGGTTTTAGCTCCTAACTTAAATGTCTTTTCTCCTCCTCATCCCTCTCTAACTTCCCGTCTTCTCTTTCTTCCTCCTCCAAGAATTCCTCTTCTTTGGGGCTTGTTTTGTTTGGTCCTTGCAGATTTTTGTTTTCTTTCAACTTTAGCTTTGCAATATGTCATTTATCTAGTACCTAAAATGTATTTATTTATTTATTTATTTATTTATTTATTTATTTATTTATTTAGAGACAAGGTCTCCCTGTAGCCCCAGCTGTCCTGGAACTCACTATGTAGACCTCAAACTCACAGAGATCTGCCTGTCTCTGCCTCCCAAGTGCTGGACTAAAGGCGTGCACCACCATGCCTGGCATAGTACCTAAAATTTAAAGCCCAAGAATATGCTAAGAGCAGCGCTGGTCTTAGCTTGCTTTTCTGTTCCAGTTGAAAAAAAAAATGTGATAAAGTGTTGGGTCTGGTCTTAAGGCACTCTTCACAACAATCCTTTACACTTTATAGTCTAAAGTACCGCTTTTATGGGCAAAGAGACTGAGGGCCAAAGAAGTTAAGAATTTTACTTTACAGCATACAGGATATAAGCAGAGAAGCCAGGACTTGAATTCAGAAATCTTCCTGCTCTACCACAACATACCCCTGGGAGGGAGGGACGAAGATTCTACAAAGTTCTGAGAAATATTTCTTCTGCAATTACAAGATCAGCAGATAGAAATGAGAAGGAACCAGCAGGTGACTAAGCAGGCAAAACGTCAAGGGCTCTGACAGTGACCAATAGCTATCTTGGGTTGTACCCTGTGGCCCGTTAGCCCAAGACCTGTGCTGTGATCAACAGGGAAAAATGACATGCAAAGGAGGTGTGATGGCCAGTGTTCATTGTCAACTTCACAGAATTTAGGATCACCTGGGAGGTAGGCCTCTGGGCATGTCTATGGGGGATTATCTTTCGACTAGGGTTAAGTGAGGCGTGAAGACCTCCCCGACCCCCTTATAGTGGGTGGCACCATCCCTAGGATGGGTCCCTGGAGTGCCTAAGTGGAGAAAAGGAGTTCAGCAGCACGCATTCTCCACGCTTGGCTTCCTGACTGTGGATACAATGTGACCAGTTTATTCAAGCTCCTGTTGCTTCTCTTCCCTACCATGACAGGTTGTGCCTCTGTGAGCCGAAACAAACGCTTTACACTTAGGGTGTTTTTATCACAGTAACAGGAAAAAAAACTGAGACAGTAGTTAATAGCACTTGTTAAGTAAGGCAACCCTGAATGGTCCGTCAGAGAAGGGATGAGGAGGACCCCAGAGGAAAGACCATTGCTGCCATGAACGCCCTCTGCTTAGTCCCCAGGTAGGTCACAGCTCAACTGACATTGGAGTACGTCCCTTGTTGCACGTACTTCTGGGATTCTGGATTCTTCTTCTGCTCTCATGTCCAGGCCTCGAGTTCTAGGGGTAAGGACTGCGTCTGTCCCACACAGTGGCTGGCTCAGAGAACAGCTCAACCAACATTTCTTTGAACGACTCTCTGGATGATTTTGCATTATTCTTTCTAGTGGTGGGTCTATGGCAACACCTGAAGCTGAATGAAGATCTCAAGACCTCAAGACTCAGGGCTCCACCTCCAGGGATTCTACGATGAAAGAGGCTGAAGACTGACGTGCTGGGGCTTAAAAACACTGCTACCTGATCTCTACAAGTAACCTGAGAAAGAGATGGAGAATTAGTCTCTGGGTTTGACAGGTGAAGAGAGAGAGAGAGAGAGAGAGAGAGAGAGAGAGAGAGAGAGAGAGAGAGAGAGAGAGAGCCCCCGCGGTGGATCTGGGAGGGTGTGGAGAGAGAGAGAGAGAGAGAGAGAGAGAGAGAGAGAGAGAGAGAGAGAGAGAAGAAACTTTAGGGTCAGATCCTGGGTCCTGGGCAGCCCTAAAAAATTAGGCTTGGCTATCTGTCCTCAATTAAAGAGGCAGTAGTGAAAACCAGAGAACAGAGAATGGAGATGTAGTCAATATGGCCACATTGGGAAGAAGAAATAAAGCTGTCCAGCGAACTCCAATCCATGTTCAGAATCCTGGGGTAAGGTTTAGATTTAAATAGAAATTGAGAGGGATGCATAACTAAGCAGTCCTGGTCAAGGTGTGGTCCTGTCCATCACACTTCATTGTCTCAGCTCCTGGTCTGTCCTGCAGGTTGTCAGCATGGTACAAGATTCTCTAGGAAGCAAGTTCCCCTCTGGGTGGCACCAGGTTTCAACCTTTTCCTTTTCCATCATGAGGCTTCTGGGCAAATTCCAATTCCCTGAGGAGAGTTGTCGCAATAGTTTTCAGGAAGGAAGGTCACACACATCTCTTTTTAGATCTTTGCTCCTGCAGGGAAAGGTCACACGATAAAGTCCATAATGCCTGGTGGCGGAAATCACAGCCAGCTTCTCCAATCCTGGCTCTCCTCTCCATGGTAACAGACTCCAGGTAGCCTCTTTCAGATGTGTATGTGTGTGCCTGTGTGTGTGTGCATGTGTGGGGTGTGTGTGTGGTTGTGTAAGTGTGTACATGTGTGTGTGGCTGGTTGTGTGTAGGAGGTGTGCATGTGTGTGTGTGCATGTGTGAGTGTGGAAATGGTTGTGTATGGGGGTGTACGTGTGTGGTTGTATAAGTATGTGTGCATGTGTGTGTGTAGTTGTGTGTGTGGGTGTGGGTATGCATGCTTGTGGGGCATGCATGTGTGAGTGTGTGTGCAAAGGTGAGTGTGGGCATGGCTGTGAGTGGGTGGGGATATGCATGTGTGGGGGGCATGCATGTGTGAGTGTGTGTGCATAGGTGAGTGTGGGCATATGCATGTGGGGGGCATGCATGTGTGTGGTTGTGTGTGTGAGTGTGGGTATGAATATGTGAGTGTGGGTGTGTGAGTGGGTGTGGGTGTGCATGTGGGGGGCATGCATGTGTGAATGTGTGTAGTTGTGTTTGTACATATGTGAGTGCACATGTGAGTGTGGGTGTGCAGATACATGCTTTGAAGAGGACAGTAGAATGGGAGAAGGAAGGGCCAAGACTTTATCTTTCTATGTTCATCCTGGGAAATCAACCTTTCCAGCCCTGCTTTGCAACTTGGATTGTGATCCCACGGTCAGTTTACAAGGACTGCTTCCCCTAGGCAGCTTACAGGATGATGCTCTCTTTCCCATAAGCCAACGCTTCAGGCTAGGTGGGCTGGAATTCCTCAGGCCTTCTGTGCTTGTCTAATCAAAGCTTCAGCTAGCTCGGGCCTCTCACCCTCAGGAGCTCTGCAGAAGTACATTGTGCTGCGGGGCTGGTCAGATCTTCCAGCTTGACTCCTCAGAGAGATATCCCTTTCCTTCCTGTGAGCAGAGATGCCTTCCTGTGCCACCCCTCACGTCTCCCCACCCCTTAGTGGTGTCTCTTGGCCTCCTCCCTGTTTTGGCTTCAGAGTGGATTTCAGTACTGCTGTTTACAGCCTAGGAATCTGGGATGACTTAAATCAGGCTTGGCTGACACCAGCCTTTAGCACACAGCCTCCTAGAGCACTCAGCTTTGCCATAACCTTGCTCCCAGGGTGAGAGCCCCTTACATTGCCTGTCATCATCAAGTGGGAGTTAATAATGACTGCTTTCCGGTACTGTAAGGAGTGGCCCACAGGAGGGGAATAGACAGTTGCCAGTTTGAAGCTCAGCTCCCTCTAATCTAGGGGTTCCTGGGTATTTGGCCCTCTTCCCTGTGATGACATCTCAGTTCCATAACTCACAGCCCTCCTGAGTCCCCAGAGAGGACTCCTCTTCCTAATCCCTGGTCTTCCTGTTCTCCAGGACGGAGTGCAGCCCTTGGAGATTTTGATTTTTCTGTATCTGGAACCCTGCGGCAACTTGCCACTTTAGCCTCGCTTGCTTTAATGAGAACATAATCCAAAGCTTTTGTGGGACTCTTCAAGCCAAGTCTTTTGCAAGCACTGTGTATTCACATCTCACCAAGCTTGTTCCGGTCAGAGAATACATGAACATGCAGATATTCAGAATGGGAGGAGGGGGGCTGGAGAGATGGCTCAGCGGTTAAGAGCTAACAACCAGCTATAACTCCAGTTCCAGGGGATCTTAGGGTCTCTCTGGTTTCTGTGGGCATTGTACGCATGGATACACTTATATATGTGCAGGCAAGACATTCCTGCATATAGAATCAATATGGATAAATAATTCTTAAATGGATTAATCATTGAAAATATGGCTTCAAACTACCTTATCCTTGGTATCCCATGGCTAAGGAGTAGTGATATACAGGGTTTGCAAAAGTTTAAAGCATCAGAGACAAAATTATCCCACTGAGGCTTCAGGTTTGACTTGCCAAGAAGTGAACAGGTTGGGCGGGGGCAGCAGAATTTATGTTCTGTTCCATTTCCCTCCCTTCCACAGAGCTAGAAAACTTATTCTCCTCGGGGGCTAGAGAGATGGCTTAGCAGTTAAGAGCACTTACTTCTCTTGCAGATGACCCGGATTTAGTTCCCAGTACCCACATAGTAGCTCACAACCACTGTGAGTCTCATTCCAGGGGATCTGATGTCTTCCTCTTCTCACCTCCTTGGGTACCTACACCCATGTTACATGTAACCTCACACAGGTACACCTAAAAACAATCTTTAAAAAGTAAGAGGCAGGGACAGGTGGATCTCTGTGAGTTCAAGGCTAGCCTGGTCTACACAGTGAGTTCCAGGACAGCTGGGGCTACAGGGAGACCCTGTCTCAAAAAGACCAAAAAAAAGTAAAGATTTCTCCTAAAACTAAAAAGACTCCTGTTTGGGTGGGGGGTGGCAGAGTGGAGGGGGAGGGGTGGGGACATGAACATCCATGAGATTTGGGATTTTGAACTTTCGAAAAGTTATGGGACGCCCTGAGTGTAAAACATATGTGTTCCTGGGTGTCTGGAAGAGTAGAGGGAGGTGCCTTGCTACGACAGGGTGTAGGTGTTTGGAGGATGCTAAGCTTCCAGGAATAGGAAATAGTCTGAGTATGGGTACATGTGTGCTCTTTTTAATTTTGCTGATTTGAGGATCAAGGCCAGGAAGTCTGGGCTTTGAAAAGGACACCTGAGAACACAAGGCAAGCCTGGACCTAAAAACGTTCGTCAAGTCCCTCTGAGACACATCTGAGACAGCACGCTGTTCTGGCAATCCCAAAGAAGCAAGCATCAGAGGTCTGGGAATCAGTTACCGCCTTTCTTATCCTAAAGCTACAGGGGATCCCAGCTCTGACCACAGACTGCTTGCCACACAGAAGCCAGCGCTTTACCTAGCAAAGATGTAAACTGGGCTCCATGCTGCATGCGACACAAATCACAGGCAGTGTGCTTGGAAAAACAGAAGAAAATCAAATAGTCTTTAAAAGCCAACGTTGCAAGCCAGACTTTTAAAGTAGCAGCAAAGGCTAGTGATTTGAAAGGGCCTCTGTTCTCATGCCTGAGGTCATAATCTTCAACTTGAACACAGGAAGGAAAGGCAGAGGGGAGGAAGTCCTTCTTTCTAAGCTTTTGCTTGCAAGAGTCACGTAGAACATTAGATGGAAAGGTACATATCTTGGCACCTGGCTGCAGTGATTGCTGACTCTCTGGGGTCAGACCTGGTTCAGCCTTTTCCTCTATGGGTGGAAGATAGCCCAGACCTGCTCACTAACTGGTAACTCAACCGAGGTCAATGACGCTGGCTTTCTTTTGGTTGACCCAAAAAATGTGTAGCTGATTCACCCTTCGTTTTTCTGGGACCGCATTCTTCCATTCGAGTGAGAAGGGGGAGATTCGAGGAACTGAATAAAAGGTCTTTCTTTGGGCACTCCAAGGAACATATTTTGATGATTATCTTCAGTAGAGTTCAGAGTGGGTTTTCTAAAACAGCCAATTGGAGCAGGAAAAATAAAGATTTGAGAGTCTTCTCAGGAGTCAATGCTATATTTAAAGTTGCAGCAGAGCTGTAGTTTAAGGCTGGAGAATGCTGTAATTAAGGTCGTGGCTTGTTTTCATTAGAAGCCTCCTGCCACTGTTCCTCTCCAAGGCTTCCTTTGTGAGTTCCTCTGAAGCCTGGTGGGAATCGTCTGTCCCTCTCAGTCCCAAAGAAACCGCATCTTTCCTTTCGGATTCCCTTGCTCTGAGAGTTGCCGCTGTCAGCTCTCTTCTGCAGATTTTCGCTTCTCTAACCCTTTCTGTTTTAGTTCCCACCCTCAACCTTATTCCTTCTTAAAATTGACACCCAGCACACTGGGACAGTCATCCCCTCTCCTGGTCTCTGCCTCTTCCTTCTGGACTCTCCTCTGCTGCCTCTTGCTGACTTCTTGGTGACCGCAGAGACTGGAGGTGAAATCTCCTTTTCTCCTAAGCTCCCCTTTACCTAAGTAACATCCCTCCCTCTCCTGCCCTTTGTTATCCTCACTGGGACTTCCTTGGCATTTGGGGGTGGCACAATTTTTCATCAGATGAGATTCACCTACTCTCCAGGGACATTTCACATTCCAGTCTTGCCCTTAAATGCCAGGAGCAATTCTAGGTCACTTGTGATAACCTCAAATGTCCATGCCATCTCTAAATAGTTCCTTGAGAGGTGATGTCACCTGAGAAGAAACTAGGGCTTTTTACACCCTGTCCAGCAGTCTTGCCTGTCACATCCACAACTAGTCTCCTAGGTGGGGACAGTCCCTTTTCTATTCCCTGGAGGGGACA